AATTTCAACTTTCTGGAAGTGGGCATACCTATATGGTTGTACGTTAATTGGCTCGATTCCCCCCTTTAGCGTAATACAATGATCCACTTCACGTGCAAGTGGTAAACTTAAGGGTTCCTAGAATACGTCCTCATACTCTTTCAACAACCTTTGCATTCTCTGTTGTGTATCTTCAGTTGGTGCATTAGGTGGTGTGGTTTCCATGGTTGGTTGGAAACACACAACAAATATCGCATGTCCTCGACGAAACTCCTTCAATATTTCTTCTGGTGAAGTGGCCTGAATGGTTTGCACATCTAGTGCTTGCAGCCTTCGCTCTTGATTTTCCCAAATAAAATTTATGGTCAATTGTTTCCAGTAACAAACCATGGATCCCAACATTTCAAGCCATTGAACGCCAAGGACAAGATCAAGACCTGATAAGGGCAGAGAGAAAAGGGTGACGTAAAATTCGGTGCCTTGTAATTCTACCCGTACCTTTTCGTAACGCCTTTGACACGTTAGTCTTTCTCCTTTGGCCTCTAGGACAGGGAATGTCTCAATAGGTATGACTAGCAACCTGAGCATGCTTGCCAAATGGTTGCTAATGAAGTTGTGTGTTGATCCGCTATCAATCAAAATCATTACTTCATGGGGACCCATTTTCGCTATTACACGTATGGTTTTTGGTGTTGTCTTTCCCATTAGTGCGGGCAAGGTAATCTCTGGTTCAAGTTCATGTACCAGCATCTCTGCTACCTCTCCCTCGTGGTCATCTTCCATCGTTTGTTAATCAATAATGTCCTCACATAACACGTTACCTGCATACCCCTCCAAGAGTAATAGCTGCTATTTTTGACATCTATGGCCTACTGTAAAACGTGCTCTCTTCCTCTACATTTCCTCCCAAGACAAACGCTTAATGGGTCCCGCAGGTGTAGCAGGAGCTGCATAAGTGGCTTGTGAAAGAGCTAACAGAGCTTTCGCAAGTGGTAACCGCATGAACCTTCTTGGTCGTGCGAGTTGATCGTCTCTCATCCGTGCCATCCACTATTTCAGCCTTTAAGCCACGCATGAATGTCCCCACCAATGCTTTTTGAATCCATCCTTGGACCCTATTGTCGAGCTTTTCAAACTTGCACCGGTAGTCCCTCAAATTCCCAAGCTGTCTGACTCGGGAGAGGGCTTCGTCAAAGTCCTCACACTCCGTTGGTCTAAATCGAGCCCAGAGTTCTTCCTCAAATTTATCCCATGAAATCACGTGTCCTTTGTCCTGAAATGTTCTGTGAATCCATTGCCACCATTGATTAGCCTCTTCTTCCAAATGGTATACTGCCATGGAAACTTTTTGGGCTTCCACCTTGCCCTGGCATTTGAAGAATTGATGCACACGGTTGAATCATTCGGTTGGGTCATCCCCTAAAAATCATGGGAATTCTAGCTTCGCCGCCTTGTTGGAGATAATTTTTCAACTCCCATCGTTGCCTTCTTGGTAAGGGTTGCCGTGGTTAGGGTTCTCCTATTTTTCTACCAACACACTCAAAATTCAATTGATAGCTTTCTCCATTCGTTGTAGTCCTTCCTAAACTACACCGATTCCAGACTCCAAGTGCTCAATATGCTTCTTGTTAGTGTCCATAACTNATGCTTGGTCGGGTGACGTGGGATTTTCGACGATCCAACGATGCAGATTGGGGGACGGGCTTCATTAACATGCCATTGATGCAAAATATCATACGGCTCACCATTGAACAAAGCCAGTGGGACCCTTTGGATGTTGGTGTACCTTACCCCACCGGATTCCATCCTCGGTCCGCCTCAGAAGTTCATCAATGGCAAAACTTTGTCCGTACTCGCAAGCGAAAGACCCTCTTCGCCTTTGCAGGTGGGAAACGACCGGGTATGAAGAATGACTTCAGATCATTGTTACTGAGTTACTGTTATAAAGAGTCTGACTCGTGTCGAGTCGTAGACTGTGGCCGGACACGGTGCCAAGATGGGACGTCGGCGATTCTTGAAGCCTTCATTGACTCGGACTTCTGTTTGCAGCCTAGAGGTGATTCCTACACGAGGCGCTCTCAGTTTGATTGCATGTTGGCAGGCTCGATCCCAGTGTTTTTCTGGCAAAACGGAATCTATGATCAGTATCAATGGTTCTTGCCAGGTGACCCACAAAGTTTCTCGGTGTTTATAGATCACAGGGATGTGAGAAATGGTACTACTTCTATAAGACGAGTGCTGGAGATTTTCAGCAGGGAAGAGGTGAGAAGGATGAGAGAGAAAGTGATTGATTCTATACCCAAGTTTGTGTACGCAGACCCTAGTCAGGGTTTGGATGTTAGTAGAGATGCTGTTGATATTGCCATTGATGGGGTGTTAAGGAGGTTCAAGGAACAAAGAGGGGGACGCAAGTCAAATACGACAAAGGAAGCAAGTGAAACAGCGAGTATAATTTAATGATATGTACTAACTGGGCTTTCAAGGGAGATATTAGAACGAAAAGGACTAATCAATTGAAGATCACTGTGAAGAACCAGCGTGGGAGCAAATACCAAGTTGATGAACTAACTGTGAAGAACATTCAAATGTGTTGATGAGGAGATTGCAAGATAGCTATGACCAAAAGTCAGGTGAAGATGGCGATAACAACTCTAGCTACAACTCCAAGGGAGATATACGTGCTGTTTTGGTTGTGATGCGTACTGTAATTTCTTAGGGTGTGTATGTGATATTGTATCCATATATTCCTCCAAATTTTTTTTTCTCCGTTCACTCCTTGTCAAGTCATCAATCATATATTAATGATAAATTCACTGATATAAAATGGTATCACTTAAATTTAATGATATAATAGTACTGACCCGAGTCTGTGTAAATTTGAAATATATTAATCTATTAGATAAATTATACTTACACCCTTTTAAACTATAACTTTTTTTTTTCACTTTTAACCACTTAACTATTAGATTTTTTACAGTGTACCCTCATCTAGTATTATTCTAAACGAAAACCCGAGAAAATGACTCATAGGATGGATCTAAAAAATGAACTGAAAATAAAATTGTGCCAACTGAACTTGAGCCAATTCTTTACAAAGTGAGGTGATACATACATATCCATACATCTAGTGTTAAAATCCAACTATATTAGCAGATTTGAAGGCAGTGTGTGCACTATTTCTCCGACTCTTGACCAGAACTAACCAACCAAGGCCAACCAACCTCATAAAATTAAAAAAAAAAAGTTCCTAGGTTCGTTAATCAAAGCCCCAAAATATTACTACATACACAGTGGATGATCATTGATCATGATAAAAATAAGAACTTCAGTCATAGAAATTTAAAAGATGGGTGGTAGAACGATAACGAAGATGTGTGAACAATATAATTGAAATGCAACATACCACAGACATCCTTCATATCACCTGCCCATATGAATTTCAGTCTCCTATTCATCATGTCGAAATCTTGGATACAGTAACAAAGTGCATAAAAAGAGAATGTGTTAGATCATTGTTTCGATAAACCAGTAGAATGAAAAAAACATATTCACTTCCCCCAAAACAGAAACTGCAAGACGAATGAATTGATCGAAAAATTTGAAATTACAGTTCGAAAGTGCATAAACGAAGATTTAGTCAGATAATTATTTCAATAAACTGGTAGGATGAATGATAGGTCCCAAACTCAGAGAGTATAATGCTAAGCTACTTTGTTTTCTCTTCGGGTGAGAAACGTACCACAATTTAAATGCAAAGAATACTTGACTTACTTAACGAAAGCGTTGGCTGCTTTAAATAAGCAAAGCCACGTACAAGCGAACCGAAATAAAAGGGTAAGTAATAGCTAACAAATGGAACTCAACACACTTAAAACAGAGCAAAACAAACAGAAATAAAATGATGTAAAACTCGCAACTACGGATGACCCACTTCTACACGTAAAACTCTTGACCGCCACGACCCAGTCCAAGTCCATTCCTGCATTGGTCTTCACCTGTTTACTGGCCTCGTCTACATAAATGCAACGGTCCTTCACGTCCCAGCTCATCCCAAATATTTGGGATTTG